CTGCTCTTCTCGCCGTGGGCCATCCCACAGCGCCGTGTGTCTCCACTCTGGGTGGGGAAGAAGCTGCCGACAAGCCGTCTACTCCAGCTTCGATGTCTCCGGCGGCAACACCGGTACTGGGTCAACCGGTACACACACCGGTTGCTAATGATATCTTGAGTGTACCCCAGTTCCCACATCGGTCAACGCAGTGACACGTTCCGCATCGAGCCCACTTGCGCCGGCTAACTACGCGCCGAAGCATGTGGCGCGACCAATCGACTCCGCAGTCGTCTCCAACTTTGAACTACAGCGCCAAGCGGTCACCCGCTATGTTCGTGACGCACTGCAGGACGCAGTGGACAAGCAGAAGGGAACGCTGATAAGGCTGGCCGCAAGAACACGGCCACGTTTACGACAGGCGAACGAGTGCTCCTGTCGACTGAAGGTATCGGAAACTCTGCGGTTATCAACCTCGGCGCGAACAAACTCGGGCCGCGCTTTATTGGACCGTTTACGGTGATCAAGACCATTGGTGACGCTTACACTCTGGATATTCCTTCGACACTACGGCTACATCCGACGTTCTACGTCGGACGTTTAAAGAAATACCATCCGTCCGAGATCCCGGACGCTGATTCGTCCTCGAGTGACGCGGCAACTTTCCAGCGAGATGGTCCTTCTCCTTTGATCGACTCTTCGGGCGCTCAGCGTTGGATCGTTGAGCGAATCGTCGACCACGACTTTCGCCAGTGTCACGGTACCCGTGACGGTCACACTGAAGCGTTTCTACAGGGTCGCGCCCTGCGAGACAAGGAGCAACACTATCGCGTGCGTTGGCTGGGACTATCCCCAGGTGAAGATACTTGGGAGCCGCGCAGTCGCTTGCGGGAAGACGTTCCCGACATCGTGAACGAATACGAGAAGACACTCACGTTCCGAAGCGTGAGTGAGCCGGGTGCTGATACTCGCGGTGAAGAAGGCGGCCAGCCTCCGCGGGTACACGGAGGCGCTCGCCGTGATGATTAAGAAGAAAACTGGAGCTGACGCCGGGATCGAACCGGTGACCAGCTTCACGAGAACCTCGGCACTGTACCGCTGAGCCACTCGGTGAGTAAGCCGAGAGAACAAGTGAGTGAGTTAGTGAGTGAGTGAGTGAGTGAGTGAGTGAGTGAGTGTGTGCGTGAGTGACGCGAGGTTCCACGACGACGAGTGAAACCCCAGCTCGCAGGTCACCTATATTCCGACGTCGCAGTCGCCTGGGTCTACAGGATACTTATCCGTACGTTGTGCAGTCGCACCTCGTCGCTCAGTCAACTGAGTGAAGTGGTTGTCGTCCCCGTATTCGCGGTCTCAAGTACCTCGTGCGCTGTCTTCGTGATCCTCGTGTCTGCTAGAACATCGTGGACGTTCCACGATGAGCGTATCCCCAAGCACAAGGAAGTCTCCAGTTGGCGCTCAGTCTTTGCGTCTGTGGTGATCATCGTGCCAGCGTTTCCTTGCAAAAACACTTGCTCGTGCACTTGTCGCGGAGTTTGATCTCCGTGGGAATCGAACTCACGCGTACTGCGCGTGAGCATGCTCCATTACCCGCTCGGACACGACGTCGCAAAGATCTCGATGCGCCTCAGGGTAACTCCAAAGGTCCAAGCTCCACTCCACCAGAACCTCATCTGACTCCTCGAAGCCCACGTGTGTCGACACCAGCGCCAGCGCCGGTGGCCTCCAAGCTGTTGTCTGAGATGGCTTCTCACTCTGCACGCTCGCTGCTGAGCGTGGTGTCTCTTGTTGATACGTCAGTGGCTTGATGTCGCGAGTGTCGCCGCTATTTCCGCCGTTCCAGCAGTCTTCTCCAATGTTCTTCATCAGTGCTTATGTTGCGTAAGTGCAACTTTAAGAGGGGGTAATGTAATGGGCCCCTCCATTACATAAGTAGGTAGATTTCTTTACATAAGTAGGTGCATCAGCACACGACTAGCGTGTGCTGAAATTCTGTCATGCCATTGGCTGATATTTGGGGAGCCAGAACCATTATTAGCCAATTGGGCTATGACGTGTATTTGAGTGGCCAGGGCTGTGGCCTTGGTCCTAAAATAAAGTCAGAGTTGATTTTTCCTTAAACCTAAGACTCAGTCGTCCTATTGCGAGCTTCCTCAACACTATAGTGTAAGCAAGTAACGGAGTAAATACCTGGCCCGTTACATTGTCTCGCGTACGCTCCGTTTCATTGTTTACAAAATGCAAGTCGCGCAAGATGTCTTGGCGTCGATTACGGCTGAAGAACCTTCCAAAATTATTTGCAGGAATGGCCCCGTCCTTCACCATCGACCATTAGCGGCAAAACGTCGCTTTTGCGGGCAGAGCATTCGCGCAATCAGAAGACCTACCACGTGTAAAATCTCGTGCGTCTCGTATCCCGGCTTTTCCTTTAAACGCCGACTAATCTGCTTAACCATCAGGTTTTACCGATCATGTTGCTTTGTGTTTATTCTTTCTGCACGTCTGGTGGCATGCTGAAGGTCATACCGATTCGTCTCTGCAGCTATCTTGACCCATAGCGACTTGGCCATAAGTAAAAGAAGGTAAGTACCGGAATTTACGGCTTTTCTGCAACCGATATTAAAAGTATCTTTCGAGTAAAAACCTTAAAAGCGGCGGAAGGCGTAAAGTCTCGCACAAGATACTCCTATCCATTTGAAACCGTCGCTTTGCTTACAAAATTGCAAGAAAAGGCACGCTTTAACTGGGACACTGTTTTGAAGCCAAACTGGTCAAATTTGTTGGTGCTGCAGACTTTTTACGGACCACTGGTTGCAAAAAATCGATCGGTTGCAAAAATACCGATAATTCCGGTAGTGGAGAGTGGCAAGCATTTAGCAGCTCAGCGGCCGGTCGTGCCTCTTCCATATTCAGACTAGAGTACGCTTCTAAACCCTCCTCAAACTCGTGAGTCACTGGCGACCACTCCATTGCACGTAACGCATCCTCACGTTGCTGCTTGGCTTGACTGTTGAGGGCATCACTGCCTACTTGAAGTGAGTCAGTGAAGGCTGCGTCCATTTGAACAGCGTCATATTCTGGCAGCTCGTCAAATTCTTCAGGTACTTCACAATCATGGAAGTCATCGTCATCATTGTCTTCTTCAATGTCGTCGTCACTGTCACCAGAGCTAAAGCTTTCGTTGTCACTCGGGTTTTCGTCATCAGCAACGAAATTTACATCCTTATTCACAGAACGACGGGGGCGTAGAACAGGACCAGTCGGTGTAGCTGGCACACTCGCAGGTAGGAAGCGTGTTCACGTACTTTTCCGCGCATCCCTGGTCCCTGGCTCGTTTTTGGACCTTTCTCATTTACCGGTTGAGCTTTATCGATTTCAAATGACTTAATTAAAGTATTGGATTTCCATTTCAGAGCCACTTTCAAATGCTATTCCATTATGTCGAAAAATACGACATAAAAAATATCATGTCGTATGCTACGACGTCGGAAACCAAGGAGTTACATGTAATTCTGTCCCAGCCGAGCCATGATTCACTGGGCGGACTGACTGCCGAGGCGTTGTTTTGTATTTTAGCTGGCCTTCGACACCCGGTCGAGCAATCTTCTGCATCTGCGCCAAGTGCATATATTCTCTGCACAGTTCGCCAAGAGCCGCTGGGACCAGATTCTTGTTCGGAAGATTGTCCCGCTCCGTTTGTCCCCAAGCCAGCTCCACGAACGCCGGTAGAAGTAAAGCTGAACGGCGTGCGAGCTCCGACAGAGAGCGTTGCGATGACTTATTAAGCAAGTATTTCATCATCGATTCGGAGCCTTCCAAGGCAATTTCTCCCTCGCGCGGCAAAATCCCCCTCCCCCTGCCGATTCGCGCCCACCCTAACCTCCGCTTACAGACTCGCTTCGGTCGGGAAGGGCGTGTCCGAACACAGTTCGCTAAGGATGTTCGTAACCAGAGCTTCAGAAGAAATTTGTGTATTATCCTGCCTTTTCTGGTCCGCCCACATTCGTATGGCCGTGGAGGAGGCGTGAGTGGACGACCTCCTCTCACAGCGCATGCAGCTCTGCCATGACATCCTTTCCAGGCCCTTGTAGTGTCGTAGCAGAAACTTCTCCCGCCTTATCTTCAAGCCGGGATTCCGGCGTGCCAGTATTATCCATCGCCGTGGCATAGCCAGGATCGAGCGACAGCATGAACGACGTCAGGTCGAAGCCTTGACATGTCGATGTTGCCTCGAAGAGGGATGACACCGGAAGCTGCACGTCGCCGGGTCCTCCGCTGTCGCTGGAGCCTTCTTCAACCTCTTCGACTTAAGCGGAGCCACAATGTCCTCGAGTTGCTGATCGGGCGGCGTGTTGTCCTCGTCGTCGTCGGACTTCTGGTGACCCGTATTCGCCGCGGGGGTGCGCTTCGTCGCCTTCTTTTTGCTTTTCCGGACCTCGGTTAGCGCGACAGCAGTCTTCCCGCTAGACGCAGCACGCTTGCTGGTGCGCAGTGGAGGGGGATCCATTGCGGTACGCGTAGAAATAGCCGTCCACGGCTCGTCACCGCCTGTGACATCGACGACGACATCTCTGCTGACGGGAGCTACGCTGTCCGTAGGGGTTTTATGAGCCCTGGACGACGGCGAGTTGGGAGCGCTGGTGACCGCGGTGGTCGCTTGAGTGGTCATTGCTCGTTAGCGTTGTAGCCCCCCCTATTTCTTGACTGCTTGCTGTTTGTTCTTCCGAATACGATTACGAGAGAGCTCACCACGTGTGGTCAGCAACAAGCGGGAGCAGTGTATACCGGAACAGCTGCGGTATACCGGTACTAAAATCAGGTGTGGAAAACCTCAATGTGTCAACCGCTGTCGATTAGAAAACCGAACCCTACTGTGTCATTTTTTACGAGCATCCACTAATTACCGGTACCAAAAGCACAGTAACTTTTACCGGTAGTTTATTTCGGAGCAAAACCCATCAAATTATATTGCACCTCACTGAATTTCCCTCTCAACGCCTTACCTCGGTCGGTGTGTATATATGTGGTCGTCGTCCTCCACGTCGAATGTGGATCTGTTATTCCCTAGACGCCCGCGTCGTGGCTCTGGTGACTCGAATGGCTCCTCAACCCGTCGCAGTAGCGCCACCAGTCGTCTAGAACAGCGCCGTCGTGACTTACCGCCGCATTCGGTGTCGACAGGCGGCTTATGGGCATTCGACGGGCCCTCTACCAGTTCAGCGAGCTTTACCTCGTCTCCCACGGTCGCTACAGACTACAGCGTGGTATCGGCAGCTCCTTCGCCATCTGAGGAGCCGAATGCAGCTCCTCCAGGTCTCCAGAAGGGCTTGAAAACTGCGAATCATGGCGTTATCGGGTCGTATTCTAGTGGCGAAGTCACAGCTCGAATGCTCTGGAACAGACCCGAGAGGGAAGAGGAAGAGCGAGAAGAGGAGGCTCTGCCCTCGTACCTGAGCTACCTACAGGCTCCGTCGCTCACAGGAGACACCACTGCTGCTGCCTTGCCAGCTCCTGCGTCTTTTGGTCCAATAGCAAGGAGAATGAGCCCTTCTAGCGATGATGTCAGGGAGATGAAGAGCCAACAACTGGCACGAGCACTGCAGGAATATATTATGGTGCAGATGCAGGGGGTTCCAGGCAGCTCTAACGCTGTAGGAGGCTGTAGCTGCGAACGCCGTGTGATCGAGCTGGAGAAACAGGTTCAGAGTCTGTTAGCGGCCCAAAAACAGGATAACACGGCGTCAGAAGAGACGGGAAGCGCTGTAGGAGATCGAGTATCCACGCTGGAAGGGCGTCAGAGTGCGTTCCAGTCGCAATTGGCTCAAATCTCCAAAGTCCTCGGTGTGCCAGTGGGGAAACATGGCAAGAGCAGTCAGCTCAAGACACTGGTGCAGACGCTGCATGAAGAAATTGACTCCAAGGTCCAATCAGGTAGGAGTAGAATGTTATACTGTATGCGTCAGGATAAGCTCTGAGTTTTATCCTGTTTTTGTGGTACAGCGGTAGCTGACGTGGAGGCTGCGTGTGTAGCCAGCGCCACGAAGCGTACCGAGCAGTTGATTGCTGAGGCAGCTACGTCATCTTCTCCTGCTGGCGAATCATCGACGCCGTCGGAGTCAAATGACGACAAGAAGCAGCAGCTTCCAAGTGACTACGATACCAGTTCTGCCTCTGGGTTGCCCTTCGCTACCGTGTTGAATGCGTTAGCGGAAGAGCACGAGGCCTCGTTGACGAGACTCAGCACGCATTTTGACGAACGGCTGCGTCTGGAAGGGTCACAACGTATAGCGGTGGAAGGACGCGTGCGTGCCCGTCTAGGCGAGCTGGAGGAATGGTTACAGCAGGTTGAAGGTGAGCTCGGAGGCTCCCACTTCCAACCAAGTGTGGCTTCAGCGTCTATCCCTGCCATGACGAAACAACTGAACGCTCTCCAGACTCAATTAAATGAGCTGGAAAGCTCGTGGAAGCCACAGCGGCAGGAGGTCCACGAGATCTCTGCCAAAATGGAAAAGCTACCGGATCTCGACGCGTTACAGGCGCAGTTGGGGCAACAGCGTGACGACATGAAGGCTCTTCGCGACAACATCGCCAGTCTAGAGGCAGTGGGGTTGTCAACCCGTGACGAAACTCTCGCGGTGACTCGCACGTCGCAGGGCTTAAAGTTAATTGTAGAAAAACTCGTACGTGATACAGGGTCAGCCGAGGAGCTGCTGCAACAATATGTGAGCACGATTACACACCAAGTGGCCAGCGTGACTCGACAGTACGTGTCTGTGCGCATTCGAGACAACAATCGACTGCTGGACGCCACGCTACGTGCGCGAGTGCCCGACTACGTTGCAAATGAGAGCGAAAGTTTTTTACTGGTACGTCCGGAGACGAAGAAAGACGAGGCTGCGGGGACAGAGGAAGGAGAGAATTTCAGCTTCGTGCTGCGAGAGGATGACGAAAACGGAATCCGGCGCTTGCTAGCCACACAGCGAGCTCCCAAGCCCAGCACCATCGGCAACACCATTAGCTCAGATGCTAGTGCTGTTGTTGCTGCTGCTGGTGGGGCGTCATTGCCTTAAACTGCGTAGGATACACCGTTCGTTCCCGTTTTTTGCAGGATTAACCTCGTGTTATCCTGCATACGTAAGCATTTACCAAATTTTTTTGGAAGCGAATTGTCAATTGTTGTCGACTGGGGCGAGGCACACTAGTACGTGGCAGCACTGTAGAACGTAGTCAGCGCTGTGGAGACGTACACTGGAGAAATGACTCGCACTGGACATGTCTACAACAAAGGACATTAAAACGTTACTAGAGCCGAAAAAAGTTCTGCGAAGTGAACAACAACGCTCAGTTCTGAACAGCGACGTCTCGAGCGGCGACGGAGACAAATGCGTGCTAAAATTGAGTACTTCCGCCGGTCTCGTTCAACCGCAGCATACTGATATCACTGCATTGCTGGATCCCATTGATTTTTTTTTTTAATTTGAACTGGTACAGGTAGTGGAAACTTGGAGTCGGAGCACAGCTGTGCGTGAATGACTCATATCGTTTCTGGGCCAGACGAAGTTAAACGAGCTAAAAAACGTTCACTGCTGAACGCAACGCTCTCTGTAAACAGGCCCCCGTAAGTGAAAGTGATGAACGTTGGACGAGAGCCGCTCGAATGAGCGCTGCATGATACTTCGTATGCTGCTGAGACGAATGATATTAGCGGTCTCATGCTTGGACAGGTCGCGTGGATAGCCGTCCCTTACGAGAAAACGCTTGCGATGCGTAGCCACCTATCAGTTACCCGGCCGCGGTCTCAAGTAGGTGCAGGCGGTGAAATTTTCACCGCCACTGAAAAGCTAAGGTATCCGCGACGAATGCAGCTTATTGTGAGCTTTCATGCAACTTCTAATAAAAATTGCGCACAATCCTTCAGATATTGCGCAACGTTTAGCCTCGAATTGTGCCAAAAGGATTGGCAGATCTTCGATCATCATAGCAGCAAATAATGCAAACTCATCGTGTGAAGAATTCACTGCTCGCCGTCTCCGTCCAGTCAACGGCGCGCACCCAAAAATATAGGAGCTCTAGAGCAGTTCCACAGTATTAATGGACTTCACAACCGTCAATTTTCCGTCTCGGCGGTCGTAAAAGTGAGCGATGCTATGAGTCTCAAAGACAATGAGCTGGCTGAATGACTCTTGTGATAGTGCTGAGTGCAAATTCGCAGAAGATTTCCCAGAATACTGTACCAGGTATATATATTATTTCAGCTGGTAATAATTAATTTATCTTGTGATTCAGAAATAAAACGGGCGATTCGTCAGCCGAAATTTTCGCGGCTCTTCCGTTGGCTATGAAACCTCATCCAGGATCGTACGACACTGGCCCGATATGCTTCCTCTGTCTAGAGCCTCCACGTACGCCACGAATGCTTAAGCGCTACTGACGGGTGAAATCTCGCCTTGAGTCAGCATGTACTCGATGTCTTCGTGGTATCTTACTGGCCAGAGAGCTGCTGGCTTTACTCGTAGTAATACTACCTAGGTTGCAGTTGGAGGGTTCCTTCTAGAATTAGCGACGAATACGTTTCGTCATCGAAATGGATTCGATCCAGACGTGATTCCGACGAAATAAGTATTCAACATAGTTTATTACAACTTTCAAGAAAACACAAGTGATTATTGACAGTTTTTAAGATGCTTAAAATACACGGCAAATGTTAAATCGGATTGGGCGGGGGTGACAAGTTTACAAGCCTGACTCTTGGTGACAGCAGCAGGCCATTCTGTCAGCGGAATCGGGTTTAGGAGGTTTATGCGTTTCTTTGCCGCTTTTTTGTGAACTCCTTTTTGAGTGAATTAACCGCAAAGTTGTCCCCAGAAAAATGCGATTGTAGCATGACTCTGTCAGCGCAAAATCTCCTGCGTCTCATCCAACTCATTTACGAGCTTGTACCGAGCCTATCTTTTGGCGTTGTTGCCACGTGAAAGCACCGTCTACATCCGCAGATGCGCCCCAGGCAATGTGCAACGATTCCTTCTGAAGCTCATAAGCCCTGCTACTGAAGCGCTCCCCGTCTGGACTCGCTGCTGCCATCTCATCGCAGCACTGTCAAAAGATCGAATGCATTTGAATATGTCCCGTCTCTCACGCGCGTTCCGGAGGGAGTTTTTGTCGTTTTTTTTTCATCCTAACTTTCGCCTTTTTTCTGGGGTTGTCTCTCAGCGGAGAATACGCCAGCCACAGTTCTCACACTTCACTTTGCAAAGGGTTCTTCACAGCGCAGGTGCTCAATCAACAGCTGGGCAGCCACAACAAACTCTTGTGTTCTGTTCCGCAAAAGATGCTCTACACCCCGTCCGCATACAAGAACGTCAACGCGGCCAGCTACGCCGTCTCCAGCCCGGACGGAGCCAAGCGCCACATGGTCTCGGGTCCATTGCCTCGTCGCCGGGACAGCGCGCCGTTGCCAGGCTTGGTGTCCCTGCTGCAGCAGCAGCAGCGGAATCCCCAAGAAGCCTTCATGCTTTCCCCACACTCGCTCCAAATTGCGCAAGCCAATCGAGTCACCACGCCCAGCACCAGCAGTGAAAGCGGCTCGGAAAAGATTACTTACAACAGTACATTATACCGACCGAAGATCGAGATCAACCCGGTCTCCGAGCAAGGGCTGCAAGCCCGAAAAGTCGCGGCTTCAAATATTGCCGCTTCACTTGCGCCAACTTCGACGGTTTCATCTTCAGTTGCCGCCCCGATTGTGAAATCCTCGCGGTATTTGCGCGAAATGGACCGTCGCGCCATTTTATCTCGCATCGAGCAAGGTGAAAAGCAATCGGCACTGGCAAAAGAGTACAAAGTGAGCCGTGCGGCCATTTGCAACTTGAACAAGCACAGAGATGAAGTGTTGTCCAGAAGAGATGGCAACCCGCTGGCGAAACACCCAAAGAAGCCGCGTCCGAAGACGTTGAAAACGAAGCTGGGCAAAACTGGCTGGTCTCCTACCATGAGAGAAAACTTGCCACAAGAGCAACAAGGAGTGTACGAGGTCAAATCACGAGCGGCGGCGCTACTTCTCACGACATTGAGGAAGAAACACGCCACTGTGAGTGAGTTCCGACGCTCTAGCGACCGTCTCATGCGTATTGTGATGGAGGAGGCCTTGGCTCACGTGCCGGTCAAGACGGTGGGGATTTTCCTACCCAACCACAGCAAATCGGACGGTGTGGCACTGGAGCACCCACCGTGTGCCGTCTCCATGGAGCCTGCAGGTTGCCCTATGCTGGATCTTTTCCACTTGATGGAGCCAGATCAACCCACGGGCTACGTGAGTTTTGGCGATATGTCAGCATCCCCCAGTGATTCTCAGACGCGAGACGTGCAAGCCAAAATTTGTGGCAACAGACTACCCAGTAGTCTAAATTATCACAACGTCTTTATTATGGATCACGTGGTTACCTCTGCAGAGGTGGTGATTGCCGTAGTGAGACGGTTGCAGGAGCACGGCGCAGTGGAGGCCATGATCTCCCTCGTGTCTCTGATTACGACCCCAGAAGCGGTGGAAAAGATTTATGCTGTTTTCCCAGCATTGAAAATTGTGGTGGCACAAGTGGATAATGGAGGCCAAGAGCTGGCAGCGCCATCCCCAGTCGGACCCGTTGATATCGAGGCCATGCGCATGCGTGCATCGACCACCGACATGATTTTGGATCGACTGGAACAAGTTTACCACGGACTTTCACCAGCCACTCCATACTGACAAAAAAACTTGAAATTTGAGTTCCTAGGTAAAATGACGTAAAATTTGATGTACACTAACTAATAAAGGTGAAAAAAAAAACTTGGAGCATGAATCGCGAAACACCGTGTTCTGCTCGGCAATCTTGGGTTTTAGCACGTCATGTACTTTCGTTGGCGACTTTTGAATGCGATACCTTTCCAGTGCAATTTTGTCAACCAGTCAAAGGTCAATCTGGGATGAAGGAAGTGATAGCGACGCATAGAGTGACCGGAGTTGCAGTCCCAGTCCAGCTTGTTGTTGCAGCAACTGTTGGTTGCGCCGCTCAAGGTCTGTTGGCAACACTCTGCGCCTTGGTGGCGTACTCTGATCACTTGCAACAGAAGCAGGAGGACTCGTCGCGTCCGAGACGGGGGTAACCGGAGTGGCAGCCAGCGAGGCAACCGGCGTGCTCTGTTGTTGCATCAGTCTTTGCTGCTTCTGAATCTCGTATCGACGGCGACAACGTTCCCGTTCACGCACACGCTGCTCTTCCGTCGCATTCTGACGTCGCATGCGACTCCGTTGCGCCTCTCGTTTGCGTTGCTGCTCCGTTGCATTCTGTCGTCGCTCTCTCGACCGCTTCGTCTCTCGTTGGCGAGCGTCAGGAGAGGCCTCGGTTCGACGCAACCGACTACGCTCTCGCTCCTCAGCGCGTAGTCGCTTGCGAGCTCGTCTCTTTGTATCTGCCTGTCGTTGCGCCGGTGTGAGCTGCTCTCGCCGACGTCGACTACGCTCGGCTTCTGCCTTTTTAGCCTCTGGGGTTGCTCTCATGCGACGGAGGCGACTTCTTTCCGCCTCGACTGACTGTCTCGGAGTCGTAGAAGTTGTCGTGCCGTTAGCACTGCTTTGGTTAACTGATCTGATAGCGAGTGCTCCTGTTTGCAGACCTAAGTACCCCACTGGGCTTGAAGATGACATTTGGTTTCCTGAACGGTGACTGGCCAGAGCTGCCCGACTGGCAGAGCTGTCAACTGCTGGCAACATGCTGAGGAACTGGTTGTAGGTAGTTTCGTGGAATTGCCGCAGATGCAACAACGCTTGCCGACGTCCTAACTCGTTGGGCTCGAAGGCGTGAGGTATCTCGCTGCTCTTCCGAGCTTGTTTGCACCTTACGATATTGTCAACGTTTGATACTTTTGTGTCAGAAATGTGGTAAAACAGCTAGCAGTAGCCTTGAGGAAACTTACAAGCGACAAGACCAACACTCCCGCTCAGCGATTTCACCCCACTTGTTGTCTTGCATGGAAATCTGCAACAGGAAATTGCAACAAGATTGTTAGATAAAATTGGACCGGCGCAAAACGATGACTGGCAAATGCTCACCATCCTCTTCTCAGTGGACTTGAGCTGACCAAACCAGGCCTTCGCATCTTTCTTGCGACGAGGTCCGAAGCGCACGCGCTGATTCTCCTCTTCAGAGCAGCCATTGAAGCGGTACAGCACGTTCTTGAGATGACACGTCTTGAAATGCGTCACGAAATATCTATTACCAATAATTGCCACCACAACAATTATTGTCACAACTCTTTTTCATTTTGAAAGCCAGTCAGTCTTGCTGGCAACATGGCAAACTGCCACTGGAACGCACCGCGGATGCCGCAAGAAGTCGAAGAAGAAGTTCTCGTTGCACTCCTCGCACTGAATAAGGTTCGCGCGAATGTGGTCGAAATGCTCGTCGATGCGCGGGCCCGCTTCTTCAGCGGCATTACCAGGCTCCATTTTTTTTCTTCACTTTTGCCACCCAGGCGCAGAACACTTCAGATTTCGCTTGACTGAAATGTGGAACAGAACAGGCAACACGAAACTAGAAACGCAACGTTGGTGGCGATAATTGTGAGATTGTGGCAAATAGGTGGTAGTAGACAACCGGCTTCAACGCCACTAAAGCGGGGGTGTTATTGTGAAGCTGATCAGCCAACAGTACCGAGTCGAAACTGTCGGCAACAATGGCGCGAGTGTTCGTGGGCAACCTCCCCGAGGATGTGCGTGAGCGCGAACTCTCTGACAAGTTCGAGCGCTACGGACGCATCACGAGCGTGCGCATCAAGTTCCCGGCGCGACCCCCGCCATTCGCTTTCCTGGTGCGATTTGATTTGCAATCGTTGGCAATCATTTTGTCCACGAGTTTCGCCACTAACCAGTTGCAACAATTTTCCTAACGTTAACCGACATACAGACATACGAAAACGAACAAGATGCCAGTGACGCAGTGCGATCGATGAACAAGTAAGCGCAAATATTTAGTTTTATTCCACGCATTTCTAATGCCCAATTCCAGCACAACGTTCGGAGGCAGTCGCATCCGAGTGGAAATGTCACGTGGCATCGACGACGCTCGGTACGTTTCCAAGCAGCACAAACGTCCGCAACTTTTCTCATTCTACTGCTGAATCTGTCTCCAGTCCTCGAGGCACTCAGTATCGCGTCAAGATCTCTGGATTGCCAGACACAATGAGCTGGCAAGATCTCAAGGATTTCCTCCGTAAAGGGGGAGATGTCGTCCACAGTGACGTGGATCGTCGTGGTAATGGCTCGGCGTCTTTTGCCACTCCGGACGAGATGCTACGTGCCATTCGAAAACTAGACGGCACCGATCTGGATGGCGAACGCGTTCGAATCCGGGAAGATGACGCCGGGGGACGTTCACGGTCCGCCTCACGCTCGCGTTCGAGGTCTCCGGCTCGACGTACGAGTCGTAGACGCTCGCCGTCTCGCTCGCGTTCCCGCTCTGGTTCGCGGTCTCCACGTCGCTACAGTAACCGAGGCAGTCGCCGTGATCGCTCCCGGTCTCGTTCGCGTTAAATCATTTTTTTTTCAGGTTTCCCATCGTGGTAAAAAGTCAAGAAATGGCAACAGTTTGGGTTTTAGCGACCAGTGTGTCAACGGAAAGAAAGTGGCAAACCTCGCAATTTCTGTTTTATTGCGTCCTTATTCTCGGTCGTATTTGCTGTCGGCAATACTGACGTTGTCGGGTTAATTTACCCAAAGTTCTTGCGCCAAAGTGAAATTTCCTGTTGCTTGAAGTACCGTCGGTCTTCTTCATCCACCAACACGAGGTTGAGGAAATACTTTACGGAAAACCGACTCTGCACGTTGCGGTATGTCGGAGTGAGTGCGTACGGCGCAAGATACAGTCGGACTGGAACGCTTTCCCCCTTGACTGGCGCTCCATCCATGATCTCAAACTTGGTGACGGTCTCGCTCTCGCTGTGGCGCTGCGTCCCCGACCCCACGCTCTCACGACGTAGAATCGCCAGCTCCATGTGTTTGATCTTGATTCGCACCAAGAGGAAGAAGATTTTCCCGATCACCACGTCCTTCAGGTGGTATCTACATGTACACCACATTTTTTTTTATGCAAATATCTTTTAAATCGCATTATTTTTTTGCCACGTACCTCGATTTATCGTACTCGAACTCGATGTGTAGACAGTCTTCGATGCCCACTTCCATCTTTATGGATCGATCCGCTGGCGGCGGGGGAGCCACACGTTGAACCCAGAGATCTTGCTCTTGCACCAGGTTACTGGCATAGTTTCCTCTTGCCAGAGTGGCACGGAGCACATATCTCAGCTTGACACTTTTGCCATAGTAACTTTCATGAGGTTTTTCCACTTTGGCAAAATCGAATGCAAATGTTTGTCCCCCTTCGATGATTTCCCCGCTGGGTTGCAACTCTCGCACTGAGCTGGTGAACTCGAAGCCGGCGTTGCGATCCACTGGCACTTCGATGAGGCCCAGCAGCTCCAGCTTCAATCCTGTGTGCTCTAAGCGCTTGTCGGCGTCAATTTTAACGGTTAGAATGCCGCGAATGTCTTCGTCATCATGGAAAAGTGGCAACTCGTTCGGTTTGTCACTTTTTGCCTCGTCGAAGCGCGGAACTTTGAGTCTTGTTCGCTTCTCGTCGCCGTCTAAAGCGAAGCTGAGCTCTGCAGATGGCACACCGAAGCCGAAGAGTTTCTAGTCCAAGTGACAAAGCGAACAGTTAGCCAAGAAGGTGGCAAGTTGCAAAGACCCAAAGAAAAGAGTAAACGACTTGCCATGATACAGTTCTTTTGCTAAGTTGCGGAAAAGAAAAACCATGCTTTTCGACAGGGTAAATGGTGTACATACACCACTCAAGCACCGATTTGAGAAGTTTTCAGAATAAAAAAAAACTAAAAACGGATGATAACAATGGAAAGCGTAAAGGAACATGTCGATTCCACTAATCTACGATCGCCTTCACTGACCCCTGTATCCCCGCGTACGTCGTCCTGGAAACGTGTTGAGAAGAAATGGAACCAAGTTCAAGTTGGTCACCAGGGATCGTACTCTGTCGAGCGGTTGGAACTTCTAGACCACTACTGCAACAACACCTCACTGATTCGAGTGATAGTAGTTTGTCTCTTGACCCCACTACCGTCGCTCACTGTGGCGGTTGTCTTGGAGTGTTTGCCTTTGAACTCGCCATCGGCCGGTTGGGCGTCGAACTGTTTCGCATCAGTCTCATGTTGCTGCTCATTAACATCGCTGGGGCTTCTCAAGCCAATTTGTTCGTCCCGGGATATAACCAAACAGTGCGCCAGGTGATTTATGCGTCGCTCGTAGTAAGTGCACTACAGACCGGGGCATTTATCCTCGAAGCTGTAATAGTTGGCTTTCCCGTGCCCTTTATCTGGCAAATTGGTGCCGTTACGATGGGGATTTTTGTGCCTCTAGTGATTCGCTTGGTCAATGGCGGACAAACACCTGCGGTGTTTGTCAAAGGATCGGCTCTTGCTCAACATCACAAACGACTTCTCAATACCTTTTTTGTCCACTTGGCATTGATTGGCGTGTTTCCGTTGTGCAGGGTCCTCTATGATTTGATTCCGCGATCGTATCGGGGCTTTGTGGTTGTCATCGTTCCCATCTGGAAATTTACAGCGAAACGCTTCGCGGTGCGCATGGTGCATGAGCTAGAAGACTTTGTTCCAGAACTCGTGGCCTTTTCAGTCGATTTTTTCAGTGCACTCTTCGTGTCCGTCTGCATGTCGACGTCAGGTTGACAGCGCTGTTCATCACGGTTGATATTGTATTCGCTCTTGTGAAATTCCGTAATCTGAACAAAAATGAGCGAGTTCTTCGACAACTACTTCAAGATCGGCGACGTTGCCAAAGCTCTCATCTTATTAATACGAGAGAGGATACTACATTTAGTAGTGGACTTTTGTCGACGATCCTCGAGGTAGTTCGAAATCCGAAAGCCTATCAGGTATCATCTTTAGATCGAGTACGCCTATATGCTAGTCCGCCCCACGTCGTTCCTGAAAACCTGTACAAACGTTTACAAATCATGGGAATGTCCTGCAGCTTTGGGGGTCACCAGTCTAACCTAACGCGAGTGTCATCATACCAGCACGCGCCTAAAAATCTGTTGACGTCGTGGAAATTCCGACAGATATCGGTGGTGCCAGCATCTATGCCGGTAGTGCCAGTTAAAGCTCAAACACCTACTAATTTGCGAAAAGAGAACAGCGTCAAACCAACCGAACCATCCAAGTATCTCGTTCTTCATGGTCTCCAGTTGCTCTTCAATTGCGAGTATCTCGTGTTGGTCGAGTACATCGAATGCGTCGTTCCGTTCGTATTCGTACTTTACAAATCTGCTCTCGAGCAATTGCCAAATGTTGTCTATTTTCCGGGAGGTGCTGGCCATTGGGGCATCACCGCAGTGACAAATCTGGTGGTGTTTGGTGTACTGGAAGTCGGATCGCTTCTTCTACTTCATGTTTTCCTGCAACGTAAATTTGGTTTCTCTCCGCTGTACCAACTCGCGTTTGTGCTGGAGACGCAGGCCTCAGCTATCCAAGCGCATTTATTTCCGGTGACGATATTCTTACTTCAGTATCAACTCGCACATCTGGGTACGTACTCATTTGCAGAAGGTTCACTGGTAAGGCTTCTGACATCCATTTCAGGTGTTGACTTTACCTTTCGCTTTGAATGGCTTTCGAAACAGAGTTGATTAGACTGACCATGCTATTGTTTGCCTAATATTAGAATTTATATTGTGACGCTCCTCGTCACTAAAAAAACACAACAACTAAAATAAAAAAAAACATTCTGCAAGTATTTATAGCTGCTGCACTTCGCCAAGCTCGAATCGACGGTGATGGAAGGTGTATCGGGGTCTTGCAATTCTGACTCGCGTTCGTTGACGCCGCCATCCTCACGTATATCGTCCTGGAAACGTGTGGGGAAGAGATGGAATCAAGTTCAAGTTGGAAACCAGGGATCGTACTCAGTCGAGCGACTTGAACTTCTAGACCACTACTGCAACAGTACTCCACTAAGTCGAGTGATTCTGGTTTGCCTGCTGACTCCGCTACCAGCTCTCACTGTAGCTGTTGTCTTGGAATGTTTGCCACTGCAACCACCATCTGTCGGATGGGCGTCGAACTGGATGTTCTGGCTTCGCGTCATTCTGATGCTGTTGTCGGTTAACATCGCTGGGGCTTCTCAAGGCAATTTATTCGTCCAGGGATACAACCAAACAGTACGCCAGGTGATCTATGCTTCGCTCGCGATAACTATACTACAGACCGGAACATTTGTCCTCGAAGCTGCAATAATTGGCTTTCCCATGCCATTCATGTGGCAGACTGGCGCTGTAACGATGGGGGTCTTCGTTCCACTAGTGACTCGTTGTGTCAATGGGCCTGCAGTATTTGTCAACGGGATAGTTCTTGCCCAACACTACAAGCAACTACTCAACAGTTTTTTTGTCCAGATGGCATTGATAGGGGTGTATCCGTTGTGCAGAGTTCTTTACGACTCGATCCCTCGGTCGTATCGGGACTTTGTGGTCATTATCATTCCCATCTGGAAATTTACAGCAAAACGCTTTGCGGTGCGCATGGTTCATGAGTTGGAAGACTTCGTTCCAGAACTCGTGGCCTTTTCAGTCGATTTTTTCAGTGCACTCTTCGTGTCCGTCTGCATGTCGACGTCAGGATCCTTCCACTTGACAGCGCTGTTCATCACGGTTGATATTGTATTCGCTCTTGTGAAATTCCGTAATCTGAACAAAAATGAGCGAGTTCTTCGACAACTACTTCAAGATCGGCGACGTTGCCAAAGCTCTCATCTTATTAATACGAGAGAGGATACTACATTTAGTAGTGGACTTTTGTCGACGATCCTCGAGGTAGTTCGAAATCCGAAAGCCTATCAGGTATCATCTTTAGATCGAGTACGCCTATATGCTAGTCCGCCCCACGTCGTTCCTGAAAACCTGTACAAACGTTTACAAATCATGGGAATGTCCTGCAGCTTTGGGGGCCACCAGTCTAACCTAACGCGAGTGTCATCATACCAGCACGCGCCTAAAAATCTGTTGACGTCGTGGAAATTCCGACAGATATCGGTGGTGCCAGCATCTATGCCGGTAGTGCCAGTTAAAGCTCAAACACCTACTAATTTGCGAAAAGAGAACAGCGTCAAACCAACCGAACCATCCAAGTATCTCGTTCTTCATGGTCTCCAGTTGCTCTTCAATTGCGAGTATCTCGTGTTGGTCGAGTACATCGAATGCGTCGTTCCGTTCGTATTCGTACTTTACAAATCTGCTCTCGAGCAATTGCCAAATGTTGTCTATTTTCCGGGAGGTGCTGGCCATTGGGGCATCACCGCAGTGACAAATCTGGTGGTGTTTGGTGTACTGGAAATCGGATCGCTTCTTCTACTTCATGTTTTCCTGCAACGTAAATTCGGTTTCTCTCCGCTGTACCAACTCGCGTTTGTGCTAGAGACGCAGGCCTCAGCTATCCAAGCGCATTTATTTCCGGTGACGATATTCCTACTTCAGTATCTACTCGCACATCTGGGTACGTACTCATTTGCAGAAGGTTCACTGGTAAGGCTTCTGACATCCTTTTCAGGTGCTGACTTTACCTTTCGCTTTGAATGGCTTCGAAACAAGAGTGAATAAAACTAACGTCTATAGCTGACAAGAGCACTTTGAGTAAATATGATCGCTATTTAAAAGCCATTACAAATTCATCCCATATTATTATTACTGGAAATCCGAAAGTAAAACAAGTCTAAAAAACAAATTTGTTCCTCAGAGCACATTACCATTTCTTCAACAATCATTGCAATCTTGACAAGTAATTATAAAGTACATTTATCTATTGTTTTAACTTCTTTAAGGGTGGTCTGTGCGCTCATCGTGATGGGTATTTGAAGTGGGTGGCGGCTTGAAAGCCCAACCACGACCACACTATACAGTCGAGAGTGACGAGCAAGCTGGACAACCAGCATATGGTTGCAGTCAGCCATCAGTGTACCAGGTTGTTGCAGCTTACAACTACAAGTTGCAGCTCGTCATCTCAAGCTGGTGAAAGCTCTAGTTAGGGAGTCCTTGTTAGAGGCTAGGCTATCACTGGGACGCTGGTGATAGCTATGTAGAGCTTTGGATTGCATGCATGTTTCTATCTCACTTTACATTTTACCAAGACACAAGCAATACAATCGGCTATACTTCTGGTCGAGGTCATTTGAGACCTCCCGGGGCTCAGCAATAGCACCCTCCTCCTCTTCTTCCTCTTTCTCCTCCACTTCATCCGAGGAGTCGAAG